CGATATGCAATGGTTGCATAGTGCTGACGGTGATGATCGAATTATTTTAGCATGAAAAATATCATCTGATACGTTAATTGTCAGTATTCCTGGCACGTGTACTAAACAATCTTACGTTGTCAGTGTTGATTTAATGATTAACTGATCAGATAATATGCTCGATCGATTAAACTTAATTTATTACATGCCTGAACCGCGTGTTTGAGTAATTTCACCAATAATTAGTACTATTAAATTGAGGAAGCATGATACGTAGCGATAGCATTTTTGCCTCGATTCTCATGCATGGCTTAAAATTGTTCTACTATTACTTATTTTTTTCAACGTACGTTAAACACGATGAGCTGTCTGTCCAAAAAGTTCGCTTGTAATTTTCAATACGAAAAATTGGCAGTTGTACAGTGCGTGTTACGCACGAGTTGTTTATCTTATACCCAGCTAGATTTGAATCTTATAGTTTTGAATGATGAAGATAGCTAGCTGGCCTGCAGTCTTGGTTCTGCCAGTGTGTATACGTTGGAAGTGCTTGCAGATCAGGGCATGGAAATAAACGTTAAAGAATAAAGATGCTCCAGGAACGTCTAAATTAACAAAGATAAATACTCCCTCCGTTTCGAAATGTTTGACGCCGTTGACATTTTAGCACATGTTTAACCGTTCGTCTTATTCAAAAAATTTAAGTAATTATTAATTCTTTTTCTATCATTTGATTTATTGTTAAATATATTTTTATATAGGCATATAATTTTACATATTTCACAAAAGTTTTTGAATAAAACGAACGGTCAAACATGTGCTAAAAAGTCAATGGTGTCAAATATTTCGAAACGGAGGAAGTATGATGTTAATGTCGATGTGGAACTATTTGGACCAACGTAGTACGTCTTGCATTCTCACTCTGATTAAGCACGTCGTTCGATCTTATCAACTCGTATCGTACACAATCATGGTGATCGGAGGTTCACGTGTTTGCGTAATATCACCACACTATATCGGAGGTTCACGTGATCGAATATGCTCGAACGATTAAACTTTACATGCCTGAAGCCGCGTGTTTTAGTAATATCACCAACAATTAATTAGTACTATTAATTTGTCGTTTTGAGGCACCATGATATGTAGAAGATACTTATGCCTCAATCATGGCTTTAAAAATTGTTCTATAGTATTAAATAACTTTTTCAACGGTTAACTGGATTCATGCCATTGCAAATTTATCCATTCAGAAAAATATCATTACGATTAGTCTATTCGTAGCAGTGTCATTTCAATTTTACAAAATTAGAACCGTACCATTATTGTCACGTTGTGCATCCATCTCCTTCCTTTTCCGTCTTCTTCTTTCTTTCTCTCCCATGTTCTTCTCGAAGTCAAGCCGGCGAACCAATCCTCGGAATCCTTGGAGCTCAGAGGAGAGTGAGTTTGCCGGCGAGGTGACCGAACCCAACCATAGTAGGCAGCGACAAGGGGAAGGTGGCATGCTCGGTGTGGATCCAGATAGTTCGCTCTGATCCGCGTACTAAAATATTTTTTAATACAAATATTTTGCTGTCCTACATTACTTGGTTGTAATTGTTTATATTATCAACCCAAACTCGAATCTTATCTGCCAGTGTGTACGCGCCTAAAAAACTATTGTACTATTTAACAATCGAATTAAGGGGTGTAAATTCTGATTTCTAGATTCAAACTATTATAATGGGGGCAAAATGGACTTTTCAGTTTGGCTTGCCAGTGATCAATTGCACAAACATCTCATAAATGGTAAACTAGATCAAGAGGGATATAGTCTTGTATATTGGCTTTTTATTTTTGGCTGAGGATGTATTTCCCTAAGAAAATCAATAAAAGACAAAAGTTATATAAAGTTTACAAAGTTATACAAAGTATATAAAGTTATGTTGCTAAGCTATTTCACGTGTCATCTCTATTACTATCATATAAAATTTTTCAGCAACGTGCAGGGTTTTATCTAGTATATAATAATGGTAAAACTTTTAAGTGGTGTTACTTACTGAAATTTAGGTAAGCGGTAAAAACTTCTGGCTCAGTACTTCACTATATTGATTAATTTCCTTGTGACGGCTATGCAAAACGCCATTGATCTATAAAGCTTTTTTTAAAAAAGTATCATAAAGATTAGTTGGTCAATTTTAGTGATCAATCGAAAGAAGGGAAAAGTTGCAAAAGCATATATAATTAATGTCTTACAAAATTAAGCTTCTAACAACTAATAATCTCATGAATTTTAATTTATAGAGTTCACCACCATAAGGCATAATTTGAGTTCTGAAAACCTGCTGTTGACGGGGGATACCCGTAGACCAGATTACGAGGATATTGGGGTACGTTGGTACGAGGATCTTCTCGATACGACAACAAGCACAAAAAAGACAAGAATTATACTGGTTCATGGCCCTCGTAAGGTAATAACCCAAATCCAGCTTATAAAAAAAGTGATTATTTTAGTGCTTAGCTAATACTATAGTAGTAATTAATTGCATAGACATGGTGTCTAGGTAGTTAGTCTATGTAGTTAATTGCCTGTGTTTGCTGTGTATCCCATAATATGTTAGAGGTTGGTGTAGAGGTGGTAATAGCCCTCGAAATCACTATAGTTCTCCCTGTCCGGGTACGAAGTAGAGCATGTTCTTTTACCAGCGAGCATGCTAGTGCCTGAAGCATAGCGATAGGATTAAAATTAAGCTTTCTAAACATGCCAGTGTCCTAGGATGAAGCTGAAGAAGAGCTAAACACACACATTCCCTATGGAAATTCGATACATTGGAATACTTCCGGGTGAATTGCTATAGCAGTATATCCGTGCGCTTGCTGATTTTATGTGAACGTAAGAAATACCAACAATATTCTAAACGATACTTCCAGGGGAGGATACGATGTCGAGAGAGCCGGCGTCCCCGTCCAAGGGAACCAGGATGTGGCTTTCACCTAAAGAAAACAATGGGAAGATTAGTGAAAAAAGCAACAAAGCCCAAGGGGAATGTGGGGTCCGCAGGCATCGCTGTTGCTGGCACGAAGGTTAGGCTTTCGCCCGAAGTTTTTCTACCCTCCCGCATAATTGAGTGCCTGCTAGGTTCAGCAGCCTCCACCGGCTAAATCCCTTCAACACGTAGCCACCGCGCCAACGCCTTGGCGTCAGCCAACAATCATTAATCTCGACCTCCAGAGCGCTCTAGATCCATCCACATGGGTGGATTGGAGAGGGAGAGGGTGACACAGAATGATGGATCCTCTCTCCCCCACGTGACCATCTTGTGGTGGCGAGATGCCACTGCAAGAGGGCTGATGCCCACCAAATGGCGCTACCATCATCGCCGCCTTGGCCAGGCTGCCCGTGTCATCTATGCAATGGGCCACCTAGCCACTTCATCATGGCCTTGTCGTCCTCCCATAACGGCAACCTTGCTGCCACAACGCTCCAGCCTTCGAGACAGCCTCGTCGCCTCCGTGTCGTACTTGCCAGTAAAATGGGGTTAATGGAGGATAAGGAAGAAGATGACACGCCTGGTTCGGGCATAGGCTCTCACCAGAGAAACTTTCGTGGCGTTGTCAGCTCGTCGGCCTCGTCATGGGCGTGCATGTTCCTGGCAACCCAACAGAGTTTAGCCCGTGCAACTGGGCACTATAGAACGAGGGGCGAGCAAGAGGTTTTTGTGGAAAAATGGGAGGTTAAATGGTGGGCTCTTGTGCGTGGTCCATGGACGGGGTGCAGGGCCTTGTGTTGTCTCTGTCTTCTCGAGCAGCCCAGCGATGGAACGGGACGGCAGGGCATTTCAGGGGCTTTGCTTCCTTTTCGGAAAAAATAATGGAGGAGGAGATTTGGTCGGGGCATGATAATTTTGGAGAATGGTGTGAGGTGGATGATGGGTAGGCCCACTTGCAATGGCTGCTAAGGGCTAGTCTTCACGGAGAAGGCTCGACTTGGCCTGGTGAATAGTCGTGCAGGGTTGTTCTCTACTCCAAAAGAAGATGCGCACCACATGTTTTACAGGGGGGGGGGGGGGGGAGAGGGGAAAGGTGTGGACGCTGGTTGGTTTTTCCTGGGTGGATAGATCGATTATGTGTAGAGCAAGCCATGATGAACAGTCTGATAGAAAGGCAGAAGCAGAAGAGTTATGATTTCACTGTGGTGAATTTTGAAAGAGGGCTAAGTGATAAGAATATATTCCACATTTTCAGCAGTTTGACTGATCTACTTGGGACATCAAATTAGTTGATAAAATAATGCCAATTTAATTAACTCACAGTTTTTCAAAATGTGTACAGTAATTTTGTGAATTTTTCCAGGAGTTTTGTACAAACAAACAAATTATTAAAATTCTTCCAACCTATTTTTAGTGCATATGAATGCAATGATGAATGTCTGCAAAATCCAAAAAGAAGGAAAATAATATTAAAAGACAGAGGAAGTCATTTCACTGATTATAACATGTATTTAAACTTTTAAAATTTTTGGGTCTATTACATTCTGAGTTGCGATTCATGAAAAACTAGATGTAGATTTATTAGTTCATCTGGTAACTCCAATTTGTATGCGACTTTTCCTCGTCGATCTTGGATCTTATATGGGTCGTTATATGTTGGTGCTAACATAGCCTTCATCTGAAATATATGCACTCCTTTCATTAGTGACATGAGATATACAATCTCCAATTTCAAAACTCACGTCCTGTCTTATATTAACCGAATATTCCTTATGTTCACTCTCAGCATAGTCCTGAGTTGTTTCTCGCCAACTTTGGTCCAACTTTAAGGCGTCTTAGCTACACATTTTTCCATATAAATCTTTATAAGGTGTCATTCCTAAATTGATAGCTATTATTATAGGTGAACTCGGCGAATGGCAAACAAATCTCCTATGCTGATCCATACATAAATGTGCAAGCTCTGAGCATAAGATCTGATTTACTCTTTCAATATGTCCTCTAGCCTGTGGATGATAGGCTGATTTGAATACCAATTGAGCACCTTTATAGACATGGATACCAAATCTTGCCTTGTCGATCGGCATTTATTCATTTTATTATAAGTCCATTACCCGACATTATTTAGCCGGTTGCGCACGCTGACAGTTGACAGGAACTACATACTCATGCAATTTTTAAAGAAAATTAAATGATTAACTTGCAACGATTTGCCTAGCCCCTGTGAGAAATGATGTAGGCAAGCTGCATGCCATCGGGCATGGTGGCAGTATGGAACTTGAGATCAGTCACCGGAGGCGCCACATTGCCCCCGGTTCCCATGATGAGGTCCACCAGCACGCCGGCGACGGCGACGAACAGGAGGCCGGCGACGGCGCCGGCGACGAGCCCGGCCATCGACACGACAAAGACGCCGAGCTCGAGGTCCGCGACCGCCTCCGTCACCGCGCCCTCCACCACCACCTGCACCGCGAAGGCGCCCACCTCCGCCAGCGCGTTCAGGCTGTTGCGGAGCACCGCCTCGACGGTGTGCTCCGCCGTGAAGATGTCCCACACCATGAGGCCCGCCGTCGCCAGGAGCACCGCCACCCCCGCCGCCGTCGAGACCATCTCCGTCACCGGCATCTTGGCCCTGCCGGACTCCTCGATGATGCTGTTGTACACCTCTAGCTTCTGCGCGTCCGTCAGATGCTCGAACTCGCCCTCGAATCCCAACTTGTTCTTGTGTCTTCACATCGATCCGATCACATCCGATAATCAAAGATTACAACTAATTCAAGAAGAAGAGGAGATCGAACTGCTATATATATGTATGGTAATTAATTAGCAATAACTTCTTACCGTTTGACAAGGTCGGGGAACTTGATGCCCTCCTGCTTGAGCATCATGGAGAACGCCTTTGACATGGCGCGGGCGGAGCCGCTCCGGAGCCTGTTGCAGTGCTCGAACATGCACTCCTTGAACATGGCCGTGTCCTTGGCCAGCCGCCGGAGGTTGGCGACGTCGTCGGCGTGGAGGCCGGCGAGGTCGGCGACGAGGGAGTCGTAGTGCGCCCTGATCTTGCCGATGCAGTCCACGCGCAGGCAGCAGTTGCGGACGTTCTGCATGCTAATGTTCAGGCCGTACTTGACGTACTCCAGGACGTCCTCCGCGATGCTGGCCTTGGCCTCGCCACCGCCGCCCGCCGCGGCGGCGGCGTACTTGTCCCTGGTGGCCGAGCCGTCGTCGAGGAGGTCGACGGCGTGGTTGTACGCGTGGTTGACGCTGTGGAGGTACTTGACGCGCTCGTTCTGGGACTTGACCGCCTGCGTGATCTGGGCCTCCTCGTTGTTCCTCAGCAGGAGGGCCAGCTTCTTCAGCTGGGATACCTCCATCAGCATAACCAGGTCGCCTCCGTCCCCCATTGGTGCCGCCATCTTCGAGCTTGGATCAACGATTCAGAGGATCTGCACCAAATTAAGAAATTCATGTTATTACTGCTACTAATAATGATTATCCATAAATGCTAGCTTTGGATCGTTGGCCATGTCAGTCTTACACTTCCAACAACTGTTCAAGGGAGGTGAGAGCCCGAAACTATTTGAGTCGATCTACATCAAGATGCTCCCAGGCGACGTCTATTTATGGTTTTAGGCTGCTGTGTTCGTGAGTCGCATAAAACGAATCGTGAGTGGGAGTTGGGAAACTCTCTCCCCAAACACATAAAACGGATCAATAAGATTTTTCTAAAGCAACTTAATTTTGTATAGAAATTTTTTGTAAGACTGAAGATCATCTCCTGTCACACTTGGAGTTTTCCCTTCCCTTAGGTTTCAAATCATTAATAAATGACTTCAAGAATTTACTTTGGTTAACCAGGAGAAAACCCCAGTTAACAATGTATTTAATAATCGGAATTGTCAGGGAGAATTTTTTTACGAATTCTCTTTGCTCTAGAAAATCACTAACAGGACTTAAAGAGTAAATATCAGATCACTGGAGGCAATGTTGCTAAGTTAAAAGTGTCAAGTTAATCTCCTTCCTTCGCCTTTGGTCATGAATTGTGCCCAATTCACTCCCCTCTCAGTCCGCGGTTTTGTTTTGCATGACGAACCGTACCCGTGTCAGTTTGCAGGACCGTTTTCTTTCCATTCCTAAAGCTGCACCGCATTGTTTTCCTTTTTGGGAAGTCCTAGTTCCCTAGTTTTCCTTTTCCCTCCCTCTCTCCCCAGCCGGCCGCGCCCTCCCCCTCCCCTCGCGCGCGGGCCCCTCTTCCCCCTGGAGTCCGACTCCCTCCCCTCCCTCCTAGTTCGACTCCTTCTAGGACTCCTCCTTTCCTAATCCTGTCCACCCCTTTAGAAGTGTTCCTCCCCTAGTTTTTTACGTTTTCCCCGAGTCCTAGCTATCATCGTCCCCGCCGTCGTCACCGTCACGTCGCCGGTAATCTGTTTTCCCTCTTAAATGAATTGGTTAATCCAATGTCAATTATCTCCCGTCTAACCTGGCCGTTGTGTCCTCTCTAGTGCTGCCGTCGTTGTCGATCTTGCCGGACCGCCGCTGCCGTCGTCGTGTTCCCTCGCCGGTTATGCTTCCCGGTGAGAACCTCCCTCCTGTTTTAGGGTTTTGTTTCCGTTGTTAGCCGTGTCGTCGTCGTAGCCCGTGCCGTCCTAGAAGCTGCTATGCTGCCGCGTGGCCGCCGCCGTTGCCGCGCCGCTGCTCGCCGCCACGCCATTGCTGCCGCTGCTTGCTGCCGAGCCACGCCGCCGCTTGCCGAGCCGTGCCGCCGCTTGCCGATCCGCTGTCGTGCGCGCCGCTGCTTGCCAAGCTGCTGTCGTGCGCCGCCACCGCTTACCGAGCCGATGCCGTGTGCCGCTGCTTGCTGCCGAGCCTAGCCGCCGCTTTGTGTCGCCGTGTCGCAGCCGTGTGCCACTTAAACCTACTCGAGTTGTCTAGCCGTAGGTGCAACCCTAGGTTCCTACCGGCCTATCGTTTGTCGTACCGGGGCTTTACAATGAACTGTGTCTAGCCTGCTGGTTTAGTAGCAGCCATTGTTGAGTTGTTCGAACAAGGTGCTCCCCTATGGTTTGTTCGTTCGTCCGTCCCGAGTCGTCCTTTGGTTTAGAGCCGTTCAGAGCCGCTAGTTCCGTTCGCCGGTTTCGGTTGATCATTTGGGTGATCCCATGTGACGTTAAATTGACTCGTTGAGTCGGTATCTTGTGAGGCTCGCTTGCCAGTCAATCCGTCCTTTGATCCTATGTTCCTTTTGGGCTTAAATCCCTGTCAATTGATTAAGGTTTTTTCCGTCAATAGTAATTAACACAGAGCACCTTGTAAAATTCATAACTAAATAATCTGAGCTCCATTTTAACCCATTCAAATTGCAGTAAATTTGTTAGAATGCCAAGAATCCATTAAAATTGGTTTCTTTTGCTGCTTCAGTAGCTTTTTAGCTTGTATTTATTGTGTGCCTTGTCTGTCGTTAGACTCCAGCAGTTCTGTCGCTCCAGTTTATTTTGAAGTGGTTGCCGAGGTCCCGTCAGCTGAAGAGCAAGGCAAGTCATACAAATATCATTGATCATATTGAGCCTATTTGCAAAACCCTTTCTTTTTCTCTCAAAATTGCATTATTTTATAATGTCATGTGAGATGGAATTTACCTGTAAACTCAGCCTTTGTTTACCCTGCTTCATTGATAGCCTGGGTTAATAATTTGACTAGATGATTGGTCTAGGATTGCTTAGCCATGCTTAGATCAACTAGCTCACAATGGGATTCACAATTTTATAGTCCTTATTTTTATGATGATGCTATGCCATCTTGGCATATGGTTAATTAATTAAAATATGATTTACTTGGTGGGTCCTGAGCACATGCATGATGATTTATTTGGTGGTCGTGCCCATGATAATTAAGGACCGGTTCTCGGGAATCCCTGGAAGATATACTTAATTATCGTGCCCATGATTTATTTGGTGGTCGTGCCCAAATGGGCTCCATGCTGTACTCGTAGTAACCAAGCCAGATGGGCTCCAGGCTGAATCTTAAGTATAATCTTTTCTAACTAGCGCACCATTGGGAAGGGTAAGCGTGATGGAGTATGGATGGACCGGGAGGCACTCTATGCTGCTTCCGGATTTACCTAGGCATGAGTGAGGGCTGCCTGCTCCTGGATTTTGGAGTGGGAGCGAAACCGGAGGTGGGTGTGCTGGTTAGGGATGGTTATATGGAGGGTTTTGTCACGATTTCCTCCTTTGCAGTATCGTGGCAGTTGATGTGCACTAGGGTTCCCGATCTTCCGAAAGGTTCTGATAAACAACGATTTGGACGCAGTCGCGACACAAATCGATCCGGCTTCTTGAACGCGCACGCTATTGAGCCCCGCAATCGCAGCACTACGTCTCCTCTGGTTATCACCCGTGTCGAAACGCGGATGACCTCGCCGAGAAGGCTAATCCCTGTTTGCCAATCGAAGAACACAAACAAGAACGAGATAGAAAAACAACCAAAATTGCAGATGAATGATTAAGCTCACGAGTTGGGGTCTTACAAACCGATCTAGCGGCGAAACTGTTCTCGACAGATTAATCTAAGCAAAACCCGACTCTAAACGATGACGGCTACTGAATAAATGTGATTAGCGACATCCTAGGGTTGCCCTAGGGCGCACACCCCCTTGGGCTAAGCCCATGACACAATTACAAGGCCCAAAACCCAAATTAGATTCGGACTGGATGAGGTACGTGGCTTGTTTTGCAGATTCCCGACAGCTCGGTAGGAATTTTGACATGGGACCAAAACCATCTGAAAGTAGACTCCATAAGCTTTCCAACAAGTACTCATGGGCCCCGAAATTCCTTCTAAATCAGCGGCTAGGTACGTTTGATTTTGATGCTGTCAGGAGGCCCGAATCTGAATCCAAAACGTGTACAACTTGATCTCTTGTCTTCTATGGGCCAAAAGTGATATGGTGAGCTAGAAGTATACTTGGAGAAGGTCTTGGTTTGGTCCCCAATCAACTTCTTCAATCATCCATGCATTACTTACGCTCGGTCTCTTTTCTTTCACCCAAGCAAGTACCTCTGCGAACGAAAACACACAAAACTCAATGTGTAGCAATGTTTGTTCAAATATATAACAAGTAAATCTAATATAGAACATATGCACCTTTGGTTGATCAATACATAAGGTGGTCATGGTTATATCTGAACTAGTTGTATCCTCATCATCATCCCTTTCTTGATTGGAAACCATCCTCGGTTTCACCTTGTAATGGAGCATACTGTACTTATCTTTGTCTATCACAACATCCTGTACGGAACATTTCTTGATGGCCATATGATTGGATCCTAAAATCTTTGTAGTCGAAAAACCACAACATTCCCCTTCTTGCAAACCAACCTGTAACTCATTTAAACAACTAGAGGACTGATAGAGAATTACTTATATGCATGCAGTCCTCTAGACAATACATTTCATCATAAAAAGGAGGTATAGTCAAATTCGAACAAATATATACTCGATACACATTATATTCTCCTTTACTATCATAATTGTCAATAATATGAAAAATCACATCAGAAGGGCATGGCAATTCAAACCTTGCAAATAATTTCTTCTCTAAACAGTTGAGTGGACAAAGATCATCAAATTGAATATAACCCCAAGTATTTAAAGAAGATAGCAATTTAAGCTCTTCATTCTCGCTAGCAATGTAAATAACATGTTTAAACTCAACACATAGTGGCTCTACTGTAGAACTAACATGCTCATTCACTAGTTGTGGCATGGATATAAGTGAATCATCGCACAACTCTTCTTTATCACAAGTAACATCAAGCAAATTGTTTTGTGACAAAGGTATTTCAACAATCGGTTCCACTATGGGTTGCTCTAACGTAGCATAAGTAGTGGACATAGTTGGCACATTATAAATATGCATACCTTGAGTAGCTGTAGCACCATTATCATTACCTTTTTTCTCATCTTTAGAAATTATCAGCGCTTGGTGAATTGAACATTCTTCAAGCATGCATGGAGCTATAGATAAGTCTTTTTCCTCTTCGTCTTTCTTCTCTTTCTCATTACCTTGGTTATTCTCAGATGCCTATAAAATATTAGTTTCCAAAACAATAGGCACAACAATATGTTCGTTTTGTAATTCAGACTTAGTTGAAGACATCACAATAGCATCTTTCCTAGTATCTTTGAAAATCTCATCGATTCCAATCTTCATCCTTTCAAGATTATCTTCGAAAATTTCAATAAAACTCATGGGTACCAATTTCATTTTCCGACCATTATGTCTAAATGTGTATGTATTAGCAACAAAATTATGCGATCCATTATTAGCATATACCCATGGTTGACCAAACAACAAAGAACATGCTTGCATAGGAACAAGATCAAAATTGGCAGTATCATGGTAATCTCCAATCGAAAAGTTTATTCTCACAATTCTATTTACCTTAAACTTACCACAAGAGTTGAACTATTTGATGCAATATGGATGAGGATGCGGTTGTGTAGGCAACTCAAGTTTCTCAACCAAATCTGAACTCACAAAGTTATTGCAACTCTCACTATCGATTATAGTACGACATGCTCTATCCTTAACCACAAACTTTGTTTCAAATAATTCGTGGTACTACCATTGCTCCGCTTTCTCCATTTGAGAACTTAGCACTTGTTGCACCAAAGTACGGTCATC